AATTAATTATTTTAATGCGTTTTAAATTAGTAAGTAGTAAGATGTGTTTCTTTTTGTTTATTTAGTGTATTTTAATAATAGTTTTAGAATAATCTATTGTAATTATTTATAATTTATATGGTTTCGTAGCTATTTTTAGGGCAAACAAGGTACAACGTTACAAGTGTGATGCTCTCTTCAAGTCTGTAAAGAATATAATGAAACTGATTGCAGAAAGGCCTGATGACGCTACTCGTTACGATCTGGTGGGACATCTGCCTAGTTTCACGACAAAAGGCAGGTGTAGGAACAGTACCAAAAACCAAACAAAGTATTTTTGTCAAAATTGTAATGCACGGCTATGCATAGTTGAAGGACGAAATTGTTTTTTGGATTTTCACATTAAATAGTAGGTAATAAGCAAATTTTGTTAAACTGTTGATCTCAGAAGTTTAAGACTGAATTATTTAATAAGTGTAAAGATCTCAGATAAAAGTTATATTAAACTTAGTTCCTAAGTAATTGTAAGGCGTTAAAAAAAAAAAAAAAAAAATTATTCAAAAAATATAAACAGAAATTTCGTATGTCTTAATTCTATATGCTGCTATGTTATTCCATGTGCCTGAACTAGGTTTGAAACCTGTACCTCAGGCAATAAAAACCGCTTAGAATAGAGAACTTAAGGTCTAATTAACAATAATTATATAATCATTCTTATATTAAATTATTTGATTACTCAAATTTTACCTATATATAGAAATGTATACCTAATCACTTACTAAATTAACTTGTTTCTAATTTTATTTACATACAGTCAGCAAAAATTCGGTCTGGTCATAAGTCAGTTGTTGCAAATATGTGCTGACACGTTTTTTGCATTGATAGCAATTCAAGTTGTAAATACAAAGTTGCTTATTTAGCCTATTATATAAGTAGGGTCCTAGAAAACTATAGAATTTATTACTGTACATAAATTTTGAGGTCGAGTGCGAACTGCAAACTATATCATTTCGTCTCTTCTTTACAGTGTTGGTATCATAAGGGATCTGCGTGTGTTGCTTCAATATTACTTGCGTTATGTATAGTTGCCTTACAGTTAGTACCTTACAGGATTTGTATAGTTGTTCTGTGGGGAAAAGGAAAGGATAGGAGTGTGCTACTTTTAATATTGCTCTCTGTGCTCGTTCCAAAGACAGCATAGAGGTTTTAGGTACACCACCCCATGAGGTAATACAATAAGTGATAATGGACTGACATAGTGCCATGTACACTTGAGTTATTAATTTAGTATCGGCAATTTTTCGCAATATTTTAAATACAAACATAAGTTTGCGTACTCTGGATACCAAACTCTCAATGTGTGGCCGGAAAGAAAGTGTGTCATCAATAATGATGCCTAGATATTTTATGTGACGAGTTTTGAGGATTTTAGGACATTCACAGGGGTATGTCGAGAGGGCATTACATTTATGCACTGTAAGTTCATCGTTAGTAGTGTTAGTTTGATTTTTACGCATGGAAAAGAGCAAGTACTTTGTTTTGTCAACATTTAGTGTTAGTAAATTGTAGTTTAGCCAGTTATTTACAGAATTAAATTCCCTCTGAGCGTTCTCATAGAGTTCTGTGATTGTTTTTGCGGTAAAAATAAGCGCTGTGTCGTCTGCATATGATATTATTTTTCCGTTTTGTATGTTTAAATTACAGAGATCATTAATATAAATAAGGAAGAGGGTCGGGGCGAGAATACTACCTTGTGGTAATCCAAAACCATGGTTCCCTCGGTCTTCACTTGTGGTCGTATCAATTCGAACACATTGAGAGCGATCATTTAGATAGTTTGTTAGTAGTGTTAGTTGTGTACCCCTTATGCCTATTGCTTCCAATTTATGTAAAAGAAGAGGAATAGAAACAGTATCAAATGCTTTGGCTAGGTCTATAAAAATTGCTAAGCAGTGATTGCCTTTACCAAGTTCTTCAGATACGAAATTAGTTAGGCTATGAACAGCGTCCGCTGTAGACAGTTTTGATCTGAAGCCGAATTGCCTGGGTGAAATCAGGCCATTTTTCTCCAGATAATTTACTAAACGGGTGTTTATAATTTTTTCTAATATTTTGGATAACGAGGGCAGAATGGATATTGGTCTGTAGTTGCTTACAAGCTTTTTGTTTCCTGATTTAAAGATAGGTATTACTAAAGCTTTTTTTAGGGATGTAGGAAAGGTTCCTTTGGATAGACATAAGCGGAATATGTAGGTTAGAAGGGGCACTAGTATACTCTTACAACGTTTTATTATTCTGTTACTTATATTATCACAGCCGACCGCACAGTCATCTTTTAGTCCAGAGATTATTCTAGCTACTTCATTTTCATCTGTATCAAGCAACACAAAGGATTTTTTCTGGTTTGTAATTGTAAAATGCACAGGCGACTGTGTGCTTGGCGAATTACTCACTATCTGGTCTGCAAGATTTTTACCTACGTTAACAAAGTAGTTGTTTACATTGTTAGCTGATATCAGTGGTGTGTTATCACTGCACAAAAGGCCTGAATTTGATTCACGCTGTTTGGCTAAGTAAGTTACAGACTTTATGTGATTCCACAGTGATTTGGTATTGTTTCCGGCTTTTTGCAACTCGCTTCTATCGTATTCGGTTTTAATCTTTTTTAAGAGATTATTGCAGAAGTTTCTGTATCTTTTATATGTTAGTTGGAGTATGGCGTTATCTGGAAATTGTCTAGTTTTTTTATGAAGTTTGTCTCTATGTCTTATACAGCGAAGGAGGCCGGGTGTAATCCACGGTTTTAAATTGTGATTATTTTTGCTATTTCTCGATGTGGTGGTATTTCGTAAAATAGCTTGCTGTATAATATTTATTAAGTAGGATAAAGACAGAGTTGCATCAGCGGTACTATAAACTGGGTTAAAATCTGTGTTGCGTAAATCATTTTCAAGACGGTTCATATTCAATTTGGACTTTGTCAGAATTCTTTTTTGCTTATGGGACGTTAAATTTATTGTTAGTATTACAGCATGGTGATCGGTAATTGTTGAGTTAGTGACAAAGGTTATATATGCTAATTTAGACTTAATCATCACATGATCCAGACAAGAACCACTTTGATGTGTGGGCAGGGTATGTGCAGGCTGGAGCCCATGAAAGGAGCAGAGATCTAAATAGTTGTTGGTCCCTGTGTCAAGAATGTCAGAACCAATGTTTAGATTTATGTCACCAGTTAATATTATGTTCGGGAAGGGTGTTAGGGCTGTAAGGGTCTGATTTAGGGAAAGCAGAAACCTATCAGTGTTTCTAAAGGAAGGGGATCTATACATAGCTAATAGTGCAACATTCTTTCCTATTTTTACCGTGACACAGTTGCAGTCGTGTACGGTTGTTTCTTCAACTGTGGCTTCGAGTGTTTCTTTGATATATACTACGACGCCATCGTTTTGATTATATGTTGATTTACTACAGAAAGTCTGATATCCCGGTATTTGAGGTATATTTTCGTTTCTATTTGACAACCAACACTCTGTTAAAACCATAGCGTCAAAATTTAGGTTAGCTCTGTGCAAAAAAGTGTGAAAACTATCAATATTTTTGTAGATGCTGCGAATGTTTTGAGTGACTATTTTAAAAGAGTTTTTAAAATCCGAAAGATACTGTTCGCAGTCCTCCACATCGCATGCTTTTGTGATTGTTGGAAAACTATGTTCTACTTCATTAATTAGATTTTGATTCATGTAGTATCGATTTTAAAATTTTAATTTAGTGCTAATAATAATGTTGCAATGGCGCTCTTAGGCGCCTTCAAAATCGATCGAATTTATATACCTGAATTCGGCCGCCTTCTTTGCTGGGCAATCTTGTTCTCCTGTCTTGTGATTAGATGGTTTGTTGAATCGCAGGCACGAGGCACATTTCGGTGGGTCTAATTTTTTCGGGCAATCCTTGATTGAATGGCCCTCAGTAGCGCAATGTCCACAGGTTACAACTGGATTTCTGCAGAATTTAGCTGCGTGGCCGTATTGATGACAATTGAAACATCTAGTCACCAATGTGAAGTCTCTTACCGGGCAGGAGGTCCAGTTTATGAAAACTCGGTCTTGGGTGATGAGTGCTTTCCGTATAGCAGCTGAGACTTCGATAATCAGGTTATGATGATCAGTATCTTTTCTGCCGGATTTATGGCTTGTTTTTATTGAAGACATAAATGACTCCCTGGTCATGGATGGAATTTTGTCGGCCACGTTCTGCTCAAATATGCAGTTGTAGACTTCGGATTCTGGTATAGATGTCGGTACTCCTATAATGATTATGCGGGGTTTTCTTTTTTGCGGTTCGTTGATTGTTAGGTCTGAGTTTGATGACTGCACAGTTTTCATCAGTTTTTCGACGTCGTCCTTTGAATTCGTGCTGATGATAACACCTCCATTCCGAACCCTTCGTACTCCACGAACTTTTATTTTCATTTCCTCGGGGCACACGATTTTTTGAACCAAGCTTTTGGTGTCATCACTTGATTTCGAGTTATCCTTGGGATAAATCGCTACGGAATTGACATTTATTGGGCGCACAAAATCATTGGCTCCTTTTTTCACCATGTCTGCAAAAGTAGTGGTTTCCATGGTGGTTTTCCCACAAGATTCTTGTATGGTCCGCTTAATTTCTGCAGTCAGACTTTCTTCTTGGGCTTGATGTTCTTTAAGGACTTGGAGGGAATAGTGCGTCTGAGTGGCTTTTTGTTTGAGCGATTGATATTTGCAGGCTAGTTGGCCAACATTATGCCCAATTTTGCGACATAGGGAGCTCACCTTTAACTTTTGATCCGAGTTTAGCTTGCCTTCGCCAGTTATATGACATATCTCGTTTAGTTGGGTCTCAATGCATCCCATCCAGTGCTGTAGGTCTGATGTTGAGATCACTTCCATCCTCTCGTCTTGGCTGTGGCTCGGAGTTTGGGTTGGTGTCGGCGGTGGTGAGCGGCGCGTTAGTCCGCTTCTATTGAAGGGGCCAAAGGTTATATATGCTAATTTAGACTTAATCATCACATGATCCAGACAAGAACCACTTTGATGTGTGGGCAGGGTATGTGCAGGCTGGAGCCCATGAAAGGAGCAGAGATCTAAATAGTTGTTGGTCCCTGTGTCAAGAATGTCAGAACCAATGTTTAGATTTATGTCACCAGTTAATATTATGTTCGGGAAGGGTGTTAGGGCTGTAAGGGTCTGATTTAGGGAAAGCAGAAACCTATCAGTGTTTCTAAAGGAAGGGGATCTATACATAGCTAATAGTGCAACATTCTTTCCTATTTTTACCGTGACACAGTTGCAGTCGTGTACGGTTGTTTCTTCAACTGTGGCTTCGAGTGTTTCTTTGATATATACTACGACGCCATCGTTTTGATTATATGTTGATTTACTACAGAAAGTCTGATATCCCGGTATTTGAGGTATATTTTCGTTTCTATTTGACAACCAACACTCTGTTAAAACCATAGCGTCAAAATTTAGGTTAGCTCTGTGCAAAAAAGTGTGAAAACTATCAATATTTTTGTAGATGCTGCGAATGTTTTGAGTGACTATTTTAAAAGAGTTTTTAAAATCCGAAAGATACTGTTCGCAGTCCTCCACATCGCATGCTTTTGTGATTGTTGGAAAACTATGTTCTACTTCATTAATTAGATTTTGATTCATGTAGTATCGATTTTAAAATTTTAATTTAGTGCTAATAATAATGTTGCAATGGCGCTCTTAGGCGCCTTCAAAATCGATCGAATTTATATACCTGAATTCGGCCGCCTTCTTTGCTGGGCAATCTTGTTCTCCTGTCTTGTGATTAGATGGTTTGTTGAATCGCAGGCACGAGGCACATTTCGGTGGGTCTAATTTTTTCGGGCAATCCTTGATTGAATGGCCCTCAGTAGCGCAATGTCCACAGGTTACAACTGGATTTCTGCAGAATTTAGCTGCGTGGCCGTATTGATGACAATTGAAACATCTAGTCACCAATGTGAAGTCTCTTACCGGGCAGGAGGTCCAGTTTATGAAAACTCGGTCTTGGGTGATGAGTGCTTTCCGTATAGCAGCTGAGACTTCGATAATCAGGTTATGATGATCAGTATCTTTTCTGCCGGATTTATGGCTTGTTTTTATTGAAGACATAAATGACTCCCTGGTCATGGATGGAATTTTGTCGGCCACGTTCTGCTCAAATATGCAGTTGTAGACTTCGGATTCTGGTATAGATGTCGGTACTCCTATAATGATTATGCGGGGTTTTCTTTTTTGCGGTTCGTTGATTGTTAGGTCTGAGTTTGATGACTGCACAGTTTTCATCAGTTTTTCGACGTCGTCCTTTGAATTCGTGCTGATGATAACACCTCCATTCCGAACCCTTCGTACTCCACGAACTTTTATTTTCATTTCCTCGGGGCACACGATTTTTTGAACCAAGCTTTTGGTGTCATCACTTGATTTCGAGTTATCCTTGGGATAAATCGCTACGGAATTGACATTTATTGGGCGCACAAAATCATTGGCTCCTTTTTTCACCATGTCTGCAAAAGTAGTGGTTTCCATGGTGGTTTTCCCACAAGATTCTTGTATGGTCCGCTTAATTTCTGCAGTCAGACTTTCTTCTTGGGCTTGATGTTCTTTAAGGACTTGGAGGGAATAGTGCGTCTGAGTGGCTTTTTGTTTGAGCGATTGATATTTGCAGGCTAGTTGGCCAACATTATGCCCAATTTTGCGACATAGGGAGCTCACCTTTAACTTTTGATCCGAGTTTAGCTTGCCTTCGCCAGTTATATGACATATCTCGTTTAGTTGGGTCTCAATGCATCCCATCCAGTGCTGTAGGTCTGATGTTGAGATCACTTCCATCCTCTCGTCTTGGCTGTGGCTCGGAGTTTGGGTTGGTGTCGGCGGTGGTGAGCGGCGCGTTAGTCCGCTTCTATTGAAGGGGCTGCTTTCCATAGTTTTTAAAGTTCAAGCGTTTACTTATACATTTCTTTATAATTTATAGATAGTAAAACATTTGAGTTTGCTTAGTGTTATAAAACACGTAGCGGAAGACCATATTATATTTTACCATATTATACTTACATTGATACTTATTGATAAAAATGTTCTTAAAAGATCTCAAAACTTATTTATTATAGGTTTATTTTTAATAGGTTTTAATGATAACTTAAAAACTTCTTTTTTTAAACGATTTTGTAGATACCTGTTCACTTAATGTAACTTATTTTGTTTTCCTACGACAGGGCAGTGTGCATGTAAAGACACGTCGTTTTAATGTTTAATTCTTGTAAGCCTGGCAGTGTGAACTTAAATAAACAAAAGCACAAATATATTTTTTTTTTAATAAAAATCTCTGCCAAGTATAGGGTTAAAAGTTGATACATATTTGCCAGTACTAAAAAGAAAGAAAAAACATTTGACAATTAGCACACAATACAAAGAATATAAAAAAACAAAAATACAGATATATAAACAAAATACTAGTAATAAACTTAAAAGAATAGACATCAGAACAAAAAACATCACATGTAACAAAATAATAATAATACTATAATAACAGCATTTTTAATTAACCGACTTCAAAAAAAGGAGGAGGTTCTCAATTCGACCGTATATGAGGGGTATAGAATCAAAGTCAGCTATATCCACACTTTGGTCTGTTTTAAACTATGAATGTCATTTTATTTTCTGACCAATTTTATACATGTTAAGAATAACTTTTCTTATCAAAAGTAGCTAAATCCTATAGAAAATCAGTGTCAAAAAGCTGCATTAGAATCAAAGATAGCTATATCTCTATTGCTGAGAAACAAATACAGCTAAAGTCGCGGCTGGCCAATCAGAGCGATCTATTTACGTTTTTTCAATATGGCGTCTTACATATAAAAACGTGCGTCTGCGTCTGTCGATTTTATTGAAATTCAGTGGTTTTTTGGACAATTTCATTACAAAAAAATTGTTTAAAGTAAAGCTAAAAGTGTAATGGAAGTGCCAGTAACAGAAGCTATACACGGGAGAGGAAGAAAACGCAAGAGAGAGCCAGAGAAATGGAAAGCAAACAGGGCGAAAATTGAAAGGTAAGTACAGACTAGTGATGTGCGCACTGTAATGCAAATTCGATAAAATTGTTGATATTGTTCAAGCATTTTAATTTATTTTCAATTTTGTCGTAGGTACTCGTCGCAGTCGTTGCCTGGTAAAATTACCTGCAATCACAATAGCAAAAGTTTTGGATGCAAAAACCTTCGCGTTAAAGATCAACTCGATTTCCACCGAGCTTTTTATGCTACACCGATAAAAAAAAATCAGGACGCTCTCATATTAAAATGTTGTACGGTAAATAAAACTAACAGGAAGCGACCGACCAAAAATGTGAGAAAAGGCAGAGACTTTGCTATAAAGTATACAATATATACAAAAAATAAAAAAATCATACCAGTTTGCCAAAAAGTATTTTTAAATACTCTTGGAATCACAAAATATCGCGTCCAGTATGTAATGAGAAATTTCTTTGCGAATGGTATACTTCCGAACGAAAAACGGGGCGGTGACCATAAATACAAGAAATATTCAACACAAAGACAAGCCGTGTATTCCTTTATAAAGTCCCTTAAATGTGTTGGAGCTCATTACTGCCGAGGGACAACGACTCAACGAAAATACCTACCCAGTGAACTTAACATAAAAAAGTTGTACAAAATGTTTATCGAAAAGAACCCCAACAGCCCAGTCAAACAATCGTATTTCAGAGCAATTTTTAATGAAGACTTTAATTTAGGTTTTGGTAGTCCTAGGACTGATGTATGTTCTAGATGTATTGAATTCCAGGAAAAAATAAAAGCAGAAAAAGATGTATCGAAAAAAAATCAGCTTATAATTGAACAAAGAGTTCACAAACTAAAATCACAAGCATTTTTTAAACTTCTACGAGAAAAAAAAGACCAAATGGCAACTTTTTCATTTGACTGTCAGAAAAACCTGGTCCTGCCAAAAGTGCCTGATCAAAGCTGTTACTACAGCAGACAGTTATACTTGTACAATTTCACAATTGTTCAAGGAGGATCCAAAGACCCATTAAATAAAAACACAACATTTTCATATGTGTGGACTGAAGATGAATACGCAAAAGGTGCAAATCAGATAGCCTCCGCTGTTTACGATAGATTAAACAAAAGTGATTTGACGAATATTACTCACTTACGTTTAGTAGCAGACGGGTGCGCTGGACAAAATAAAAATCTTGTGATGGTATCTATGTGCTCACGGTGGATTTTGCAGCATCCGCATATAAAAAAAATAGAGCTTGTATTTCCCATTACCGGACACTCATTTATGCCAGCGGATCGCGTGTTTGGGAATATAGAAAAAAGAATTCGCAAACTTGAAGTGATAACACAGCCTTCAGATTATACAGATATTATTAGCGAATGCGCAACAGTCACAAAACTTGATGAGATAGATGTTCTTGACTGGAAAACCTCTATACAGAACATAGTCAAAACACCAGCCCAGCTTCATTTTAAGATATCGCAGTGCAAGCGTATCATTATTCGACGGACCAAAAAGCAGGGAGATGTTATGATTCGTGGGGAATTGTTTTATAATTCTGACACAGGTGCTCCCAGGACTATTTGCCGAAAAGGAAAAAAAGCAGAACTGATACAACCGTCTACAATTTCAAAAGGCATAGATGTAAAACCACTTAAGCTCAGAGATGTGAGAAATTTACTACTAAAGCACTATGGTGAAAACTGGAAGGAGTTACCTTATTTGGAATACTATAAGAATGTGTTATTTAACATAGACGAAGAAGAAATACAGCTTTTAGAAGAGAACGGAGAAAATGAAACAAATGACATAGAAGAAGAAACTTGTGAGAGAGTCGAAGAAGATGTTACGTTAAGGATATAACAATAAAATTATTACCTTCATTGGAATCCTTCCCTTTCACTTCATTATAATTATCTTTCTATCTATTACAAAATTATTACAAACAAATAAAGTTGATTTTTCATATTCTGGTTTTTGAATAGACAGACTGTTACTTTCTCATTTATATGTATTAATCAAACTTATGTACCATATCTTATAATAATGGAAATAACATTGAATGCAATTTCTATTTTCATTCAACATACCATTATCCACACCATGCGATGTTTCTGTTGTTATGCGTACATCACGAGCATCGTGACGTCATCGATTGTGTTGCAATCAAAGGCAGCTTTATCCATATTTGTCAGAATCAAAGACAGCTAAATCCAATAGTTGGTATCAAACACAGCTATGTCCAACACAAATTATTTAAAATAGCCCATAAATCCCCCTCTTACAAGATACTTTTGTTGGTACACCTATTTATTTTGTACTAGAGCATCCTGTCAAACAATCATGTTTACGGTGTTGCCAAATAAAAATAAAATAACAGTTTTTTTCGATTTGTGGAAAATAATTTCATACGGATTTAGCTGCCTTTGATATTATAGTATCCCGTAGTAGAGGGGTATACCCCTCATATATGCTTTTTTTATGTTTGTTCGCCGATATCTCCGTCGTTTATGAACGGATTTTAAGAATTCTTTTTTCGTTGAAAAGGAGATAGTTCCAGAATGGTCCCATGATAAGGAAATCAGGATCTGATGATGGAAGACCAGGGAAACCGAGGGGAACTTTTGAAAATTATAGGGGCGACTAGGGCATTCGGTAATGTTTTCATTAAGTATTGAAAACCACTACAATTTGATAAAAGTCTGGAGCCGATCTGATGATGGAGCCGAGAGCCAATTGAGGGAACTCCTCAACGGTTAACAGTAGCTACCTTGTGTTTGGGTTTGATTAATTTGTATTGATGAGGACTTTACACCTGGGTGAGGTGTAATTGTCAATAAGGGTCTGATGATGAAGTAGTACGATAGTTGAGGGATCTCCTTAACGGTCAACAGTAGCTATCTCGTGTTTGGGTTTGATTAATTTGTATTGATGAGAACTTTACACCTACGTGGGGTGTAATTGTCAATAAGGGTCTGATGATGAAGTAGTACGATAGTTGAGGTAACTCCTCAACGGTTATCAGTAGCTATATTGTGTTTGGGTTTAATAATTTGTATTCATGAGGTCGTTACACCTAGATGAAGGGGGGGGGGGGTGTGATGGTTATTAAAGGTCCAATGATGAAGTAGTATGATAGCTAAGGGACTCTTCAATGGTTAAGAGTATCCATCCGCTGTTTGAACTTGAATAATTTGTATTGATAAAAACTTTGCATCCATGGGGGTTGTGTATAATATATATCAAAGTACTAAACTAAAAAATATTAAATAAAATTAAAAACTGCGTTTAAAAAAACCGACTTCAAAAACGAATGACTAACGAAAAGTAAAAACTAAAAAAAGGAAAAAAATAACTAAGTATTATAGCTTACACACCCACTGATAGGTGAGAAGTCGGTGCCACAAGTTTTAAACAAAATTATTCATTAAAACCTTAATAGATACCTACTTAACATTATTAAGCTGTTTACAATTTTATTACGCATTATACTCAACTGTGTCCATTAACTATTTTGTTGCGGGTTTGTGGCACCGACTTCTAACCTATCAGTGGGTGTGTAAGCTATAATACTTAGTTATTTTTTTCCTTTTTTTAGTTTTTATGAATATACAAAAAAAACTCAAATAAACAAAATAATAATATCAATTTGCGCGTGCTCATGCCAAAAGGGCCTCCACCTCAACATATAGTTGGACGTTTCTACCCAAGTCTACTAGACATGTTGTGTACAGAACTGTCGCGGCGCCTAGAAGTTTACCGGGAAATAAATGATCTGTTTAGAAACTAACAGATTTCTCGACAAAATCGGACGCTGAAATTAGTCAGGCTTGTACAAAGTTTTAAGGATCATTATTCATTATTTCGAGGACACGAGTCTGAGTTTATAGACGAAATGGTGCAGTATAAATACTTCATCCTACAATTAGATGACGCCGGAAAAAATATGTGCGAGCTGAGGTGTCCTACAAACTGATTATTGATAACACGGCA